ATGGGCACATCATGACTATATATGGGCACATCATGACCATTATAGGCACATCATGACCATATATAGGCACATCATGACTATATATGGGCATACAACTGTTTTTTTGTCAAAGAAAATTTGATAGTGTGGACAGAGCATTACAATGATATCTTAAAACTTTTTAAAAAGAGGTCTTACTTGGTTTTGGATTGTCTTTTGTAACCTTTTTTAAAAAGTTTTAAAAGTTTTAGTGATGTGATTAAATAAAACAGTTTATGTGTCATAATGTAGGCCTATCTTTCTATAGGTTTTTTTTTTTTTTTTTTAATTAATTGAAGCTGAAATATAGGCCTATAGCATTTATAATGCAAAATGTTCGCATTCATTGAATTTGTTTTGAAGACGTTATTTGTATTTGAATTTTCACGATTTACAGATATGATCAGCCGATTCCAATGAAATCTTTGAAAAATCACAACATTCATAACGCGTTTGCAATTCTTATAATCGCTGAGTAATTTAAATCCACTCGATTTCGACGAAATGCAAGTGCTATTCAAAAACAGTAGGCCGACATGTTTGACATTTTTTTCTACATGTTCTATAAATTATCAGATATTTTATCATGAAGATTGTATTCCCATCGGAATTTTTTAGCATTGAAAGTTTCATAGAAATAAATGAATCAATATTTTCTCCGTATTCCTGAAGGATTTCTAGACATTCCTTGAACTTTAGAATAATTCTGTTCATTAATCGACATCGTTCATTAGGATATTATGATAATGACCAACTATAGAAATTCTCAAATTCTCATTTTTTTTAATACATTTCTATTTATGGGCCATGTCCTATGGCGTTGATATATATTTACGAAACATATGCATACTTATATCCGCTGTTTCAGATATTGCAGTTAAGCCCCATTGTAATTAATTTGATTTGCAATCATTATTAAAGAAGTAGACCAAGGGAGTTGTGAACTCCCTGGTAGGCTCAGTTGATAATATTTTTATTTATTTATATATTTATTTATTATTACCAGGAACTTTATTTAGGTATACATACATTATTCACAACTGCAATGCCATATAACGTGACATCTTTATTTGTATGTATTTTTAATTAGTTTAACTGGCTGTTGGCTTATTTATTGCTGGTACTCCCGAGGAAAACTGTTGCCCATGTTAAGCCTATCCCGTAACCCATATTCCAGATAAAGACCCCTGCTATATGGTGAATAGAGCACTATATAATGCCGTGTGATATTCCTGTATGCAATTTGGTGTGATCTTTAACTATAACACGGGTCACGATTTCTGATTAACCAAGCACGTTGACGACAGATTGAGGTTTGCAAAAGCCCCAGCCCATGGAACCGGAATGAACAATTACGGGCTTCGTACCGACTGGTGTCTTTCAATAACGCCAATGAATCATAAATTAGTACTCATAACATACTGGAAGAAAGAGCGATCTGTGATCAAAGGCGGCTGGTTCCATGCGACTATATTTCCTACGACTCCCTCAAGGTTTGAATGTACTATTTTTCAGTGCCAATGCAACGATTCGAAGATGAATATTGGGATCAAAAATGACAGCCAAAAAGATCAATCTTGCCATTAAATTGTTCCCCGATAGTAATGCAAAATTATGTTATGACGGCAAAGTATACACATACCGGTAGTCATAGAAGAATGTATACGGCACATGGTTACAGTTAGGAGCAATTAAGAAGTCAATTTCATTGATTTGTTCTAGAATAAGCATTAAACTAACATTATTTAAGGAAACATAAAACAGGAGGTGAATAGAATTTTTTTTTAAATAAGGAGCCAGGCTACATAATATTCTGACCACTTTGCAAATAAATATAAAAAAAAGTTTAGTCATTGTAAGGAATCATAGAGGGCGATATAAAGTAATTGTCTAGCGTTCACACACTGACCACTCAAGGAAAATGACCATTGTATTTTGTAATTGGAAGAGCGCCCCCTCTATAATAAACTAACATTGGAAGACCTGGTACTGCCAAAGAGTATGGTACTGCCCACCGGCCGCAGTCACGCACGTGGAAAGCAAGAGTGCACATAATAATAATAATATGCCTAACCTTTAACATCGTAATTCAGCAAAACTAGTCAATAAAATATTGAACGTAAATGTCAAAAAATATTTTTAGGAGTGTTTATTCATGAAAACTTAAGTTGGAAATTTCACCAAAACTCATGTTTCAAATAAGATTTCTATATCCATCGGAGTATAATAAATAGACTGAAATTTTTCTTTTGCTCAACATATTTTACTTTACTTTGTACAACTCATTAATTCTTCCTCATATCCTTCTAATTTAGATAGATTGCTAAAGTTGCAAAAAAGTCTTGTTGGATATAGGCCTATTATTTTAGCTTCATATACTTCACCATCGGATCCTTTGTTTAAGGCTTTGAAGATCACAGATTAAAATAAAATTCAAATTGCTGTATTTATAGTTTAATATATTATTAGACAGTTCCCATCTTCAATCCTTATAGTATTTTTATCGAAATATAAATTTACTTGATATTCCTTTTGCAAGAATCAAATAAAGTCAACTTGTTACCGTACTCTCTCAGGACCAAATTTATGGAAATTAAATTTTAAAAAAAGAACAAAATTGAAAACAATTGCAACTCTTAGAAAAAAAAATCTGAGGAAAATATATTTAGATTTGTATCAAAACTATAGGGTACTCATAGTGATACATTGTTGTATGTTATATTTACTTTCTATTTTGGAATTAACTAAGACAAACCTTGCTCCTAAGTTCGATACCTAATTATATGGAAAATAACTGTATTCAATAATACAATAATAATAATAATATATTTTTTCCCCATTAATTGAATAAATTTTGATTATTGATTATTAATTACAAGTAAGCCTATTTTCCAAAGTTAGACGAAGCATCATCTCATATCCATGTCCAGTTTTAGTATTGCAAGATAATTGATTTATACGTGTAGTACCGTACAACGGGCAAGGAGACTTTAAATCTAGGGCGCAAATCTTTCACCTTTATTCAATGCAAATTTTGTGATTAACATACCTTCAAATTACCTTGATAAACCTATAAAATAAATTACTCGGGTTTTATAAGTGATCGGTTGTGATGAATACATTTTTTTTTCTCTCCGGTGAGGCCTAGAGACGATGCATAAGAATTCTAGCACTATCCAAAGATAGATGCTTTTCTTGATCCTCTGACAGGATATTATATGCCACAACAAATGCTTCGTTAACTTAAAACAGCTCACGGTAAAACTAAGAGGAAATCAAAGAAATGTAAACGGCCCACAGGAGGATAATAAAACCTCAGACAATTTTCTTCGAGAGCGATGATAACATATTCGAAAACAGCACTTAAAAGTGCAAGCTAGCCTAGGTCAAGGTTGAGATGTGGATTACCATTGGGATGCGATTGCATCGATAGGCCTACCTGCAGGATCAGCGCTATTTTCCAGGTGATGATTTCGTGAAATAGACCGCATCATGCCAAAATATTTTGAACTTTTTAGCGTGCGATTCCATATAACATCGAGCGTTCAATAAAAACAAATTTTAAAGACCCCGATTACTTGAAATGTATTTGTTCAAATTGTTTCAGATTGGTAGCCTATTTAAAGCTAATATTAAGTACAGAGTTGCTCTTTATTGCGCATGCTTATAATCGGACCCTGGATAACCATTTCAGAGCCTGTTGAAAGTAACACAAAAAGGAACTTGAGAGTTAATAATCAAATCTATTGAACTCTTTAAAAAAAATATAACAAATAGCTTTAGTATTAATAAACGAATGAATTTACAAATAGGCCTATTATAATTGTTATAAATATCAAATATAATATTGATAAGAAGAATCAGAAGATGATAATGAATGGAAAGATTAAAAGTTAAGAACTTCAGTAATTACGGTATAAATTTATTTAGGCCTATGAATATATATATATATATATAAGGTGATGATTGTTTATTAGTATATACTTTTTAGTGCTGTCAGGAGAGCACCGTGATAACGACGTTGTGTTGCTTTTGGCCAACCGACTAGCCATAATTTTTATGATCTTAACTGGAGAATTAAGTATGATACATAATGAAAGATAACTACTAAATTACTGTATTTCATAGTCTTTCCTATGATCTAGTGTACCTTTAATAATAGAAAAGAACCGTACAGAATACTGTACTAGCTTCGAACTATTAAAATGTCATACTTGTATTTAAACACAATGACAAACATTGAAGTGTGAAGTAGGTATAACATTTCTGAGCATTTAAAGTTGCCATATCTATAAAAAAAAAATCCACACAGCATCCCCCAACTATGGAGCTGTGAGACCGCGACTTTTGAACGACTTAAAAATTTACCCCAGTTTGGAAAATATTTGAACCAACAGGAAGATAAATTATTGTAGAGGGCGTACTGGCGAATTCAGTTTGCTCGGGTTTTTACTATAATTATCATTTCATCATTTCACTGTTCTAACCTGTAATGAAAGGTAAGTATAATATTATCTGATGAAACAAGTTTTTTTCAGGAGAATGAGCGAAATTTCAACAAGGTAAAGAGCAGAGGAATATTTCGTTACCGGTACATATTGAGGTTGGTTGGGCCGCAGATACCAAAACAAATGTATATGACCTACTGTTGGCTGGAACGAAGTGTCTTTGAGTCTGAAAAATGTTCATTGTCAAAACGAAGGATGGGTATAAATTCCGTGTTCCTTCTAGTTCCCCAACTCAATCTAACAGAAACCGTCTAAGCCCGAATAATTAACGCTATCTCTTTCAGATCGACAAATAAAAGGTTCGTTAGCCATAAGGTAATAAATTGCAAAGAGCACTTATTTCAGATGTTTCAGAGTATGTTAACATTAACGTCTATTTGCATTATATTAACGTTGATTTGTATTAATTAATGTCCGAATAGTATTAGTAATAGACAATACACAATACAAGAGAAAAAAACTTTAAAAAATAAGAAAGTTTTGAAGAAATTTGTATTTGAACTTTTTTAACACATCAATCGGAAAGACAATTTAAAAGTTTTCTAATTGCACATTTAAAAAAAATATAGTATGATTTGCTGATTAAAATTGAATCATTCAACACTCTTATACAAATCAAAATATACATAGGAGCCTAATTGTGTTCTTTCATAAAAAATCTCATAAAATATATTTGCGTCATTTCCGACAATTAAACTTTGCAGGCATTTTTAAAAACGCAGAGTGGTCATGTCATCTAGGATAAGCCGACTTTAGTTTGCCTGTTTTTAGGCCAAATGTCCTCAATTTGGTGCAGTACATCGTATCCACTGTCCGACAGAACTCGCCGGTAAAACTTAGGTTACACCAGCGTATGTTTTCACCTCCAGACTGTTCCGCTATCAATCAGTTGTTTATTAGGAAAAGGTATTTGATGCGTTAGACTTAAGCATTGTCAGGCAGCTTTAACCACCAGTTATGCATACATTTGTTACCGTACGCATCTTAATTAAGTGGTTCTGAAAAGTCTTGCTTATAAAGGCCTACATTAGTTCTTGTATTTGTGTCGAAACTCGCCTCGATTATACAGTGTCCAGTGCATTAAACTTTCCTGACAGTTGAACGACTTTGTAGTTAAACTCTACATTACATAACAGTGTCATTTTTTAATTTATAAAAACTATAAGATAAAATTTAACATAAATGAGAAAAGAATTATTTAGTGTAAATTAGATAAGACAATATCTTTTCATTAATCATTTCGAAATAAAGTACGGTACCGTATTACCAGAAGTAAATAAATGAAAATAAACTATATTTTTATATATAAATATCACCACTCTAATTCCTTCAACTTAATTACTCTATGCTTTAACTTAGGTTCTTAATCTTGTGTATGATTGTTAATTTTTATGATAATTATTGTGTAACAGTTCTCTGTTTATATATCGCATTAACTGTTAGCGTTTACGTAAGTTATAGTCGTGGTTAGGTGTTTCCGGGGTACTAATCCTTGACTGTTCTTTCGCAGTTTTCTGCCTTTCATTTAATACTCGATTAACTTCCACCATCGGTCCTTTCCCTTCAAATGACGATGGCGTTCTAAACGAGTCTCCAATTCTATCCCACAGTGTGAAAAACTGACCATAATTGTAGTTATATAAAAGGTGATGATCAGTGTGATGCGCCGATCCATTCACAAACGGTTCCAAAAGTTTTGGCACTCGGTAATCTCCATCGTGAATACTGACGGTCCAAACGTTTACGAACATGAACATCATGAGATAAACGTATTTATTTAATGGAAACAGGAATGCATAAATATGATATGGACAGCTCTGGAGAAACCCGTCGATAGGGTGAAACGCATGACTGGCGAACGGAGTCGGCACTTTCCACATGTGATGATACTTGTGAATATGTTTGTAGACGTACTTGTGGTGCAGCCAACGATGTATCCAATATATGCACATGTCGGTAAACAATAGGAATGCTACGACGCTCATTACAATGCTGAGATAACCTGGAAGAAAATATAATATTATAATTGATAGTTAGAATGGAATATTCTAGTGCGAAAATAGTTACCCATGCAAGGATTCGAACCCGAGGAATGTCGCTGTCTGTGGGCCAACTGGGCAACTACGGGTTGAAAATTCGAATCGGACGCCCATGGCTTGTAGTCTTTTGAACATCTGGAGCAGCACTCTCAACGCACTGATCAATTTTGTAACACACACACCCCACACACACAAACATACATATATACGCACATGAGCGTGTATATATATATATATATATATATATATATGGCGGGACTCGAACCTGCGACCTCTCGCTGTCAAGGCGAGCGTCATAACCATTAGACCATGGAGGCTTCATGGTTGAACAGATTCAAATACCACCAGATACACTCAATTACACACTATTTACGGCTAGAAACAAATGTTGCATATAATACAATTTATTTACAGGACTACATTCGTTGAGAGCTATGCTACACGATGT